AAATTTAAAAAAAATCAAGCTGAAAAGCTATAAAAATAAAACAGCTGAGAAGAAAATATTCTACGCTCTATAACTAAAACATTAGATTGAAACACCTAAAATAATATACACAAAATGTAGCAAAAATTATATAAAAATAATATAATACTAAAATTACAAAATTAATTAATTAAACAAAATTATGCAACAGCTGAAAAAAAATATTTCACTCTCTATAACTGAAACAATGCAATGAAATGTCTAAAAAAAAAAACAGTACACAAACATATTACAAAAATACAACAAATCTAATAAATCTATATCTAAAAAATTAAATTAAATTAAAATTAAAAAATTAAAATTTAAAAATTGTGAAATTTAACAATACAGATCATTAAAACTAAGCATTTTTCTTGAAATAAATAAATGCTACAAATACAAAAAATAATACAAATAAAACTGAACAAATCTTGACTTTGAGGCTTCACTGTGGCACCTTGTAGGCGGCTGCTGCAGTTGTGCGTGGCCGTGGGCGTGGCGTGTTGCACTCTGAATCGCCGCCGCTGCCCGACTGTGGCGTTGTTGACTCCGGCAGCGAATTGTTGCGCGAGGTGCGCGGCATCGGCTTCGGCGGCGAGTGGCTGCCGCTTGGCGAATTGGTGTCCAGTGCAGCCGATGAGGAGGCCTCCTCACTGCTGCCCGTCGAGTGCTCAGTGGGCGAGTCCTTGTCATCCAGATGGTGGTGCAGCTGCTGTGCCTGCTGATCCTTCTCGGAGTCTGTCTTGTATTTGGCCTCGAATTTGCGTATTAGCTCGCTCTGGTTCAGGCTGCACTCCTCCTTTGGCTGCACTTTGGCCTGATGCAGGCGCTTCTCATTGCAGTCGCCGGCGTTCCCATTGCCATTCCTCTCCTCACCATTGTTGCACTTGCGCAGCATCACGAAATGCTCATTGTCGTTGCGCTTGGCCATCGATGTGGTGGCGGGCTTTTGATGTTGATTCTGAGTCTTGCCCTTGGCCTTCAGGTTCTCAAGATTCTTAACGAAATCGCTCAAATTGCCACGATGTATCTATGTGTGTGTGTGTATATATATATATATATATGTTATATATTGTATATTGAGTTACTGTAGAGTTCTATTCACACAACTGTGATTACCTTATGCATATGCATTCGATATTTCACATTTCTGCTTAGGTTCCACTTACGTTCCACATTAACTTAAGTTGCTTAACTTATTTAATTAAACATATATGACTTTAGTGAGTATATTCTTAAACAACTATATTCTTACAATCACAATGGATTTATTCCATACCAACTATATAAGCACGTATTCTTCCAACATAAATACATATAGAGTATAGCCTAGCTGTTTGTTGTCATTTATTTAGATTTTCTAGAGTTTAAATTTGATATTTCACTAATTCATATTATTTGCCTAGCGCCCAATCTTATCAAATTCCCAAATTCTATAGTTGTTCTTTATACTTAACGATAAGCCTATATATACATACATATGTGTACGACGTATACGACTGTACGCAGTACCCCAGAAGCAATAACTCAAACTCTTTAAGCTTGATGATTTCTATATATATGCATATAAATACATATGTATATATATTTATACTTACGATAATGGGCTCATCGCCATGCTCGCGTTTCGCTGGGTCCAAATTCATTTTGGGCACTGCCTGATTGGTGCCATTTAGCCACTCGCTGGCAATTAGCTCCGTCTTATAGCCCGTTGTTTCCGGATATAAATCCGCATGGAAATCGCGATAGGTCTATAAGGATATGTTTCACACATTAAACAGGATTATAATTTTTTATATGATTTTTCGTCTCTTACTTTGCGTGGCACCTGGTACATAATGGGTATGACCATGTTGGAGGTAAGCTGAAGCACACGATTTACCTCAGCCTCCATCACTTTGAGGGCACGCTTGGGCACCAGGCAGGCGCCTTTGGTTTGTTCGCCGGTATGCCGAAGTCCTTCGATAAGATAGGGATCCTTGTCTGTGATCTCCAGATAGTTGATGGTCGTATCACCCTTGCCAGCCAGGAAGAGCATGTTCGTATCGGGATCGAACAGTGGCATCAATATGCCCGTCGAGCAGTCCAGCTCCAGTGTCTTTTCGGGCGTATTGAAGTTGCGTATATCGCGGATGATCACTTGACGCAAACGGGCCGCATCGAAGCCGGTGGTCAAGATGCGCGACTGGTTGCCCAGCCAGACGACACGCGAGTCCTTAATGCTCTGATGCGACTCAGCCACCATTTGTATGGGCGAGCCGGCGGCACGTGGATCAAAGATGCGCACACACTTATCCTTGCAGCTGGTGGCCAGGACGGTGCCATCCTCTCGCCAGCTGGCGGATTGAATTACCTCGGGATGTTCATTGTTAGCTGGGAGAGAAGCACGTGTCAATTAGCTACAGTTACAATTCGAATGCCCAAGTTTTGTGCTACTCACAGAAGATTTCCTTTTGGGCCGCAATATCGAAGAGCGCCACACAGCCAGCCGCTGTCGAGTACATTAGACCATCGGCTGTGGGATGAAAGCCGACGGTCTCTACGCGGCGCTGCTTATGTGAGAATACAGCCTCCGGGTCAGAGAGCGATTGTTCGAGTCCTTTTTCGGGTATGTGCCAGATTTTGACCTGCAAGTGTTAAAATATTCGATAGTTGAGTGAGACTTTCGTCTCAAATAGATCGATCTTCCACTCACCAGGCAATCCTGCGATGCCGTTGCCAATAGTCCATCATGAAAGGGTGAGAATTTCAAGTCTGTCACTGTGTCCGTATGGCCATGCAGCAATGGCATTGTCTTGCTTTTGCGTCCGCAATCATCGAGCGGCAGGACAGCAACACTGGAGCCGCTATGCTCCCAATTGAAGGCCATGAAGGCAGCGGATGCGGCAATATTATTGCCATAGGTTTGATAGCTGCCCACGCATATTTCGCGTACGCAAGCCTCCGCTTTTGGGACAATGGGCGCGGCATTTTTATACTTGGAAGCCTTAAAGCGCCAGGCCATTCTGTGTGTCTGTGTGAGTGTGTATGTGTGTGTGCTGCAGGTATGCGTGCGTGTGTGGCGATTGCAGTTGGTCTGTTTGATTCGCTGCTACCGTTAGCGATGTCTCACTTTTCCAATTCGAGAAGACGAGTTCCGCACAATTCGCTCACTGGTGGCTTGGCTTAGTTCTCTCCTCTTTCTTTCTTTTTTTTCTATTTCTTTTCGTCTTGCCAATTTGATATTTTCTGTTGCAATTGTTATTTATTTATATGTATGTTCGACTGCGGTCCGCACGGCTACAATTACAAACATGAAATTCTATTATTATTATTATGATTATTGCTAACTTAAGTTATCGAAGCCGGCCACTTCTGCAGCCGTACACCCCACATGAATCACCCTGTCAGTGCAGCCAGGCGATGGCACGGCTCCTAGCGGGAGTTGTGTATGAGGTGTTTGTTGTTTGTATTTATTTTTTAAGTTGAACACAGTTATATATAAATTTAAATGAAGTGCTCTATATTATGGCAGCAGCAGTACATCAATTACATTCAAAAAAACAAAATTTCTCTTTTGCTAAATAAACATAAAGTTTCACTTAGCGAGCGCTTGCTGCATGTAAATCAGACAATTCTTAGCTTTAAGGCCAAACCAGAAAAGAATTTAGAGTTTTTCAAGCTAAACTAGCTGCTTTTCGATCAAAGTCCGGCAGCACCCGCACGCAGCGCAACGCACAAACAGGCGCACACACATATCAATTGATAAGCTGTTGTGTGATATGATGTTGCTGCCTGATGACTGCCTGGCACGCCCACACTTGAGTCGCATTACTCACACAATATGTCAGATGAGCAACAACAACAATAGCACAAGCAACAGCCCATACACAGAAACTTGAAGTGCGGCAAGAATGGAAAAATGGAAATGGACAACTGGGACTTGGACTCGTCTGTCTGCTAATGTTGTTGTTGTTGTTGTTGTTGTTGCTGCTGCACTTGGCTATAATTATTGAGGACTTGCACACTCTAAGTGTGCATGCATATATAGATATATACATATATATGTGTGTGCGCCTTGTTTATCGCATAAAAAGAGAAAGCACAAAAAAAAAAAAAAAAAGCAGCAGCAACAATTGCGTTTGCGTCTGCGATGCGAGGAGAATGCCAAATGCCGATTGCCACAGAGATGCCGGATAGGCTTAAAGCATACACACATACATATGTACATATGAGTGTGCATACACGTATATGGGTGTGTGTGTGTGCATGCCTTGTCCTTTTTCCGCTTTAGCTTTCCATGCATACAAATTGTGGTAATCTAGGTGTTGGCCACTTGTAAGCGCCTTTTATAAACAAGTGCCACGCCTCATTAAAAGCCTAGACCAGAATGTGTGTGTGTGCGTGTGTTTTTGAATGGCTCATTGCAATTACCTTAACTGCCCTTCATAAATTAAGCTCTGCTTTTAGTTCCACTTAAATTCTGACTCTATCTCTAGCTGTTACTAACTACTAATCGCCTTTCAGCAATAATAGTTAAATCATGATTCATACGCAAGCTGAAGACATTAAGAACTAAGAGCTCTATCGAAATTTGCGCATGATTCATGACATTACGAATATTGTGGAATATAACATAAAAGAACAGATATGATCAAAATTCATTATAGACATTCATTATATATATTCATTATATTTAGGCCTATAAGTATGTAAATAACCCTAAATACACTGCTTAAACGGATTTTTATGAGCACATTTATTTATAATAATATTAAATATACAAATTGCTCTATTATAAGACTTTCAACGATTTAATTGTAAAATTATCGTTTTAATTTATCACATCTGTCTATAAACACTTATTTCAGTCTATGTCTAAGCAGGAAGAAACCGAATCTTTTTTTTCCGTTATATTTGCGACACTTGGTAGAACACAAACATAAAAAATATATATCAAAGTGGACTTTGTTCAAAGTTTTTGTTTTTTTCAAGCACTGTATATAAATAAATATATTTTTAATAACTGCACTTATTTGATTTAATTATTAATTTTTTCTGATTTTTTATATTTTGTCCTTTGTCTTTCAAGGTTGCTTAATTATGGTCCACTCTAAAGGCGAGACAGTTTGCCTGTCTTTGAGTGTTTGTCACTGACACACACATACACGTACACGTACACACTCACACTCACACTCGACATTCAAATGGAATTGCAAAAGTTTTGGGGTTCAAATCTCAGCAAGTGCCTCCAAATAGTTGATCGAGCACTTTTCTCTGGTAATTGAATTTATATTCTTCTTTTTTTATTGTTATTTATTTGCGATTTTTGTGTGTTTTCTTTCCACTTTGTATTTGTGTGTATTTGCACAGAGCCGCAACTAGCGGTTAATTTCAAGTGCAGCCAGCGGGGCTAGCAATGTACAACAACATCAACAATAACAGGCAGACGGCAACTGGAGCTAAATGTATTGACAAACGCCGCAACAGCGGTAGCAGCAGCAGCAGCGACAACAACAACTACAGCGAGAAGAAGTAGCAGAAGAAGAGACACAGTTGCGCTCACTTGACGACGCGTGCGCAAATTCAACTGGTTCGTTAGAAAGCGGCAAAACAAATGACCATCATTGGCTGTTGACGCTGCCAGTCTGCTGGACTGGATGGCTGGCTAGCTGGCTAGCTGGCTGCTGTTGGTGGTGCAGATGGTGGTGGTGGTGATGGCGGTGGTGCAGCCAGCCACCAGGTAATCGGGTCAAGTGATTTAGAAATATATAGAAAAAGAAAACTGCGCGCAACTGAGCGGAAGTTGGGTGGCAGCAGCGGCGATGGCGACGGACATTGGCGAAAAAGGGAATTGGAAATGAAGCAGAAACAAGTGCACAGAGCAATGCATTGCAACCTGCAGGAGAGCAGCAACAACAGCAGTATCAGCAGCCGTAGCAGACAGCGGGAGACAACATTAGCGGCAGCATCCGTGCTGCAGTTGCGAGAGAGAGAGTGTTAACGAGTGAGCGCGACAGAGTGAAGCTGCGCGTGTGTGTGTGTGCGTCTGGGGGTCTCTCTCGTTATGGCTACACAGGGTGTGTATTTGTGTGGGTGTTCGTGTGAGCGGGTGCAACCGTAAGAAACTTTGTTGGGGGTGGGTGGCAACACCGGCACCGGTAAGCCGGCAACGCTTTGAGCTACTGTTTTACTGTTTTTTTTTCTTCTTCCTTTTTTGCTGCTTCCCACCACTACACAAAGCGCAAGCAGTTAGAGTGAGAGAGCTAGATAGTAAGCTGGATTGAGAGCAGGGAAAGAGCGGGCGGGGTATAAGGCACAAGTGGCCTCCTGGTGGTGGTTCCGTTACGTGTTTGTTGTTGCATATGCATTTATTGACATTTTTCTTACTGCGTTTGTCATGCACTTAATGCTTGTTACTATTTTTTTTTTGTATACTGTGCCAAATGCGTGCAATTAATTAGGCGTTGTTTATGCACAGCACAAAAAAAAAAAAAAAAAAAAAAACACAAAACGGATGTGAATGTAAAAGGAGCCGCTGCTTCTGGTTTTCCACTGACTTGTTTGTTGTTGTTGTGTTCAGCCGGCACACACCCTTTTTAGCACTGGCGCCGCTGGGAGCGACACTACAACTACAAAAACAAGAAGGAGGAACAAGAACAGCGCAGCCGACGCTGCGTTCTGGGCAAACAAAGGAGCAGTTTTGCACCCGATTCATATACACGTACACTCATACACTCATACTCGCACTCTCACACACACACTCAAACACATACAGGAAACATGCAAAAATTGAAATGTTGCACACACAGACTCACTTACGCAGGGTGGACTATAATTGAACAATGCAATTGCATTTGCAATAATAAAATGAATCACAGCACATTAAACACTTTAACACTCACAATTTTATTTGGCACGCCCTTTCGACCAATATCCCGCAACTGCACAATTTCTTTTAATTTTTGTATAAAAAATGTTGCATCGGCTTTTTTCGGTGCTGTATTGCCCGCTGTTTCACACAGACATCGATGAGTCGATGTTATTTTTGTTATGTGCATCGATGTATCGATTTCTTGTCGATTACCGATTAGCAAGTGGTGAGCTTACCCATCAACTCGTGACACGATGAACGATGGCGCGAAAAAACTTTGGAATAAGAAGCTAAATGGATCGGTATACACTAATTTAGTTTCTGTTCCAAAACTTAAATTTTGATGATTTGTTTTTCAGAAAATCATAATTTATACATTGTTACTTCTAAATGCATTCCACTGTGTACAAATGTAATCGGTTTCATCAGGCTCATCGATATGTTTTTTACGATAACTGACAGAACATTCTCACCTACTGCTTAACGTGTACTATATTTATCAGGTGAAGGATTTTAAAGCTTCCAAACTAGACTATGTAATGGAAATATTTTCAATGGCTATGGTGAAATTCTTTCTTGAACAATGTACTAAAAATCTGTTCGGCAGTGTGACCATACTAGTCGTGGTCGTCTGGCACTGCGATAAGTCGCAATTACAGGGCTACAGTGGAATAATGATTGAGATGCCCTGTCAATTATGTATCGATAGTAACGTAACGATAGTGCCATCGATTGCTTTGCTGCTCTAACTGCTGCAGCAAACTGTATTATTTTTTTTTTGTTATTTATTAAATGAAGTTGAATTAAGTTGATTGCTTTGCAATGTCAAAGTTAATGTACAACCTGAACGCGACTCAGCGCAATTACGCATTGTGATAACGTGAAAGTAACGTAAGACGCGAGCGCTTGTGCTTTGCGGGTGTGCGTGTGTGCCAAGTGTATGTGATTGTAATTCTTCGTATGTGTATGTGTGCGTATGCGTATAATTTCGGTGTGCGGCTGCAGAAGGCAACGACACGGCGCGCCGCTGGCCAGCCCCAGCACCAGGAGCAGCACCAGAAGCGGCATCAGCAAAATACAACAAAACAAATTCAATGCTGTCACCAGCTAAGGAAAACAAAATGAGCCTCTTGAATAAAATAGGTGAGTTAAAAAAACGAGATAAGGAATATTTATAGAGCCTTAAGTTTTTGTTATTCCCATGACCAACACCTGCAACAACAGATTAACTTTATTTATATATGTATGTGTATGTATATACACATAACCCGGCGGCATCAGCAGCATATGCATGTGTGTATACATGTGTATGTACATATGTGTGTGTGCATGCTGCTGAGCTTGTTAATTCCTGCAAATGATTCACAATAAGCACGCACAATAACAACAACAACAACAACAGTTAGACAAAAGCTACAATCCTGTTTTTTAATTCCCGTTGACTCTGCCCACCCACACTCACAAACACACATTAACGTCTTCGTTGGCCCAAAATGTGCATTCGGTTTATGCCGTTGGTTTATCAACAAGTCTATTTTTAGTGCCTGCGCCTCGCAAAGTGTTAAGACTGAAGTAGCCCACGAAATATGCCTGTGTGCGTACATCCGCATCTGTATGTGAGTGTGCTTCTGTACATGTATGCACATATATACATATGTATATATAGATGTGTATGTATGTGCAACGCAACGGAACACGCCCAGAGCAAGCCGCCTGTTGGCTTCTGACGCCGTCGCCGCCCACCTCCAGGAACTCCTTAGGCTGCATTTTATTTTAATACTTCTTCCATTTTTCTCAATTTTGTTTGTCTCTCCGTCTCGCTCTCGCTCTCACATTCATAGCGCCCCTAGCATTTGCTTTCTATGACGCGCGTTTAGTTGCCCATTCGAATTCACTTGAAGGATATTACAGAATTTGATTCGCAGAATCAAGCTGCATTTGAGAATGCATATGAAAGTTGGTTAGATTTCTAGTTAAACGGCTAAAGGGCCAGAGCTTTTGCAGCTAACGGCGAACTTATTAAACCGATAGAAAATTGAGCAATCCAAAGCAGTTTAACCGTTTAACAGTTTAATGTTTCGGCAAGTTTTGACCTGGGTCAATTACATCTAATTGGCAGGTGACAGAGATGAGCACTGATGGGCGATGTGCGTGACACGAAAATTCGAATTTCACGAAAATTAAATTTAAATGTGGAAAATATTAGCTAAGTAGAAATTAATAATAAAAAAAAAAATTAAATAGATTTAGTATTTAGTAGTTAAATAGGGTATACAAAATGTCTGCAGTTATATATGTATAATACAAATTATTTAAAATATCGGTAAAAATAAAAATAATAAAAACCTGTACTTATTTACTCATACATAATATGTACATATATACATATATGTATGTATGTATTTATGTATTTGTACATGTGTTTGTCATGTACATATGTCAAAGCCAACCCGCACTCATCTCTAATGCAAATATTCAATGAGCCGGCAACGTTACCTCGCCTGGTATGAGTTGAAGGTCACGCACAGCTGCCCAGCTAATGTTGCCAGATTATTTACACAAATTGCGAGCGGCTAAGTCAAACACATTTACATGCTTTAATGTTATATCAAAAGCTTATCAGTTAAGTGATAAAAGCGCGATAGGACAAGCCAAATAACCAACCAGCCAGCCGCCCACTCTCCCACCTACGCGCACAAACACACGCACACAGCAACAACTGTCCAAAATGTCCAAGGTCATTAGGGATATTCCGGTTGCAGCTAACAAAAAAAAAAACAACGAAAAGGCCAATTGTTGATAGCTAACGACCCGCCGGCCGCCCCCTTCAAGCTGAGCCTAGCATGCGCTCAAAATAGAAACAAAAAAGCTTTTCAACTCTACCAGCAATTACCATTAATCAAGTCACAAAGTTATCGATAGATAAGCAACATCTTATAAACACACACACACACAGACGCAGGGGGATATGCACATACATAGAAATGAGCTCCAAACCTCCCTTGCAGGGTTTGTTGCCGCTTGCCTGGGTAAGTTAACTGTAAGTAAGCTTTCATACTTTTGGGCTTTCGACTTTCGGCCTTCGAGCTTTTTGGCCGAGTCAGTTTTTGCGGCGCATTTCTCCCTTTTATTGTTTGTTGTCCGTGCAAAGTCTCAGACGTTAGCAGCCGTCGCAGCGCGCGGCTTGCAAAAAGTAAGTAGTTTACTTTACTTTTTTATTATTTTTATTATTATTTTGTTGTTGTTGTTGTTGTTTTTGTTTTTGATTTGATAAGAACTCTGTTTGATAATGTGGCGACAAAGGCGACAGCAAAATGTTAAGCGCTGATCAATACGCTGTTCGCCAGTGTTAAATAGTGCTAAAAATAGCTGTTGCCCTTTGGTTCTGAATCGTTTTCCAAAACTATATGTGACTTTCGAATAGTTGCAAGTTTTCCAAAATTAATTGATATGTGAGTGTTTATCGTAGGTTGTTGGCGTAACTTGATCTTGAAAACTGAATAGCTTTTCATGTAGTTAACGATAATAGTTATTGATCTAAACATCTAACTGAAATTGTTTTAAATGGCATTACAAATAATCGAAATAAATATCTAAACAAACTTCTAGTGTTGCAAAGTGCGATGAAATGTGGAACTTAAGCAATTGCTCGGACAGATGATCTGTGGAGTTTTCTATTACACTTTTAGGCTCAAGTTGTATACCCTAACACCAGCAGCTATTGCAGTAAATGTTATAAAACATTATCAAGTTTCAAACCCATTTAAGAATAATCTAAACAAAATGTGTTAAGTGGAGAACTTAAGCAATTGCTCGAGCAGATGATCTGTTAAGCTTTTTATTGCATTCACTCAAGCTGTATACCTTAGATATTTCTGAGTACAGGGTATACAGACAATAGGCATAACAACACCAGCTACTGCAGTAAAGACAACAAAGCGTCGCATCATTCACACACACACACACACATATGTATAGGGCAAAAGAGAGCAGTTCATTGAAAGTGCAAATGTCGTTGTTGTTGTTGTTGCTGCTGCTCAGCGGGCCGTATGGCCGCCTATTGGCCGCGCGATTAGATTGTAAAAAGCGGCAGCAGCAGCAGCGACGGTGACGGCGACGGCGACGTTGACTGGCGCTCGCTCACTCAACACGCTCGCAGCTCCACAGCTCTGCTGCTCAGTTAGTTAGTAAACAGACAGACAGACAGTCAGTCAAGTCAATTCAGTTAGACTCACGCGAAATATATATATTTACAAACTACACCGCAAAAAAAAAAAAAAAAAAAAAAAATAGCCGTAGCAAATTAAAATAAAGTAAACGCGCACTCAACCTCGCCCCGTGATGATATCATCCGATTGTAGTTAGGGGTAGGGTAACCGACCACCCCCGGGTGCCGCTGCTGATCCTCAGATGTCGCATCAATAATTTGCTTCGCGGCTGCTGCGTGATTTACTTGAGCTTCTTGCTCTTCTTTAAGCGATTTTGTATTACTTTTTGTTTTTGTTCTGCTTGGGAATGTGCAAAGTGAATTAGTGCCGATAGTCGATTGCAAATCGTTTACTCATCTCTAGTGCTGCAAAAAAAAAAAAAAAAAAAAAAAAAAAATAAATTTAAAAAAAAAATCCATTTGTTACATTTGAATTGGATCGTGCATCGATGCGCGTTCTAAACACCGAGCTGCGCCTGCGCTTTCAAAAGCGCAAGCCGCGTCCGTTCAATCGCGCTGCCAGCGCTGATGACGCGTTGCCAGCGACTGAGGCAGAGGCAGAGGCAAAGGCAGCGCACGAGCAGCGGACTAACGGAACTGTCAGCATGCGTATGTATCAATAAATGAAGGAATGTACGTACCAGAGCCCGTGCGTATGTGTGTGTATGTGGGCGTTAATTGATAAGTTGGAATAACTTTGACCTTGACAGCTGCGGATCGATAAGTGTGCCCATAGATAAGAATGTAATTATTGCGTACGATAGACGTCGAACTGCATTTAACTTGAATTGTTAATTAATTAATTACTTATTAAGAAAATTGGGCTTAAAAGGGGTAAGATGAGATAAGTAGAGAATTATAATGGTTATCGATCACTGTAATTTATCGTAAATAATGATGTATATA